TGTCAAACATAATTTTGTACATGCTATTGGGATCCATATGCTCAAAAATCCCCTACTGTCGTTGTGACTACAAGATGTATCTTCTGTTATCTCAACAGATTCCATCCACCCAGCATCCATCTTGGAATGAAAGCATATAATTTTCTTCATGAAATATATGGACAGACAACTGAAATTTATATTCTTCCCTAAAAGGGTCAAGGATATTGAAGTATATGTATATGTATAGGCAGTGCTTTTTTTCTTTAAAAAAAAAAGGGGGTGCTGGAACTCACACATGTCATACAACCTGCCTTGCCTACCCTACAAGGTTCCATCCAAAAAAGGTGCCGGAACTCCGTTCTGGGCGTTCTATGAGAAAAAAAACCCTGTGTATATGTATGTGTGTGTATGTGTATGTATGTCTGTGTGTGTGTGTGTGTGTGTGTGTGTGTGTTCAAATTTCTTTTTTTGTTGACAAAGAGTTAAAGAATTATTTTTATCAACAAAAAAAGAAATTCGAATTTGTAGTGTATCACAATAGCGACTTGAGCCTGCTTAACGCTCCTAGGCTGGAGCTGCAAGGCAAAAGTGATCATAATAATAGAATTGCAGTATAGCAGTTACAAAAAACAAGGTACATCAATCAGACCGGTCTGTCCGGAAAAAACGTACTATATATATATGTATATACGTATACGTATATATTGGGGGAAGTCTTATGGTTGCTCACAACCACAATGGGACAGGAGAGCGCACATCACATCAGTACTACCGCCACGAGATGAGGTGAGACAGGTGGGGATTGGAGTTGCCCAACGTGCCCTATACCCACTTACTCAGGGTTCCCGCAGCCAGGCCACTCCTGGCTTGGCAACCTCCCCACACACGTTCAGTGACTGACTCGGCTGCCAGCCTGCCTCAGCCCTTTCACTCCCCTCCCAAGAGGGACTACCATGCTGAGGATGGATGGGGGAGACCTTCTCATGAATAGGTTAGTGCTTCCAGTTAATCACAATATCAATTTCTAGTCGGTCCTTTAGTATGGAAGATTCAAAGGAACACACTATTTGGATAATCAAGTTGCTGTATTATTCAAATTCTAAACTATTGTTCCTATTAGCTAGGCTTCCAGGAAATCTGAGCCATTATATGTAAAAGTTCTATAAAAGCCTGTAGAGCAAAGAAAATAGCCTTTGTGATTAAGTTTCTTTGTAATAATATGTAAACTAATTGTGCAGATATATCTGCATCAATAGGCAGTTTACTTACTGATCAAAATTGAAATTATGTTTTCTGCGTCAATATGCAATTATAGTTTCTAGAAAGAAGTTTGTATGTAATCAGGATTTATACATGTGATTTGTGAAGTAATAGCAGTGTTGACATGTTATGAATAAAAACAAATATAGGTTATTTCTGTATTTTGGATTTGTTTAGAAATTTAAAACTGTTCAAATACAGTCTTTTCCAAATCTAGTATTACTATGGACATTAAATTTTATGTTGCATTATATTTATTCATAAAGAAGAGACCATTTCTTTCAACATTTTTTTTTTTTTAGGATTTGGTAGATATAACATAAAAAGTTGTATTTTCCCTTTTACATATCCCTTTGTGCCTACATTTGAACTTATTTAAGTTTTAAAAATGGTTTAAAGCTAATTAGGCAGCTCTGTAAATTGCAGAGGAGGGGAGGAATCAGCTTTGCTGACAACTGAGTGACTTGGTATGATTTTAAACCTATTATACTTATAGTAGAAATGCCCACTAGCTTCAATTGGTTTTTTAGATACTAATGTATAAGAATAATGTATTCCCATGAAAAACTATTTAAAGCAAAGATAAAATAGGACAAGAGTTGAAATACATTTAGCCAAGAAGTTTTCCTTGAACTACTTAGAATGAATCTTCTTTTCAGAAATTACAACTTTTATCATTTGTACTTCTTATCTTTCTGAGACACCTTTTTGAACAGTTTCCAGATAAATAACTGTTAATCTGCTGCAGAAAAAACAAGAGATACTCTTTGTATAAAATTTCTAGTATAAAGACAATAGTTTATTTTTATTGGCTTATAACAGTATTGTGAAAATAGAAAAACATTTTAAAAGCTTTCTCAACAGAGACAGTGAGTGCTTAAAATTAAGTCTCAAGTTTACTACCACTTCAACGAGAGATCCTAATGTCAGCCCTGTGACATATGGAGAAAAAAAAGGAAGCTCATTTTCTCAACACAATCCATGCTTTACTTTATCCCTCTTTACTCACAGTTTTCTAAGTCAAATATCCTCAACATTATTTCCTTCAGTTCCCATTCAGCTTCATCATTCTGTTCCTTTTCTGATCTTTTTCACCTAAATTTTAAATATATTGGAAACTAGGAATTGTTCAATCTGTTCAGCCAGGTTTTCTTCAGTTTTCATTTTTCCAGTTTAAGTACACAGAAACATTTTTATACTATCCCTAATATCTAGATGTTTACTGTATGTATTTGTGTGAAGACATTTTGGTACTGATATTTTTTAACATTTTCCTCATGATTTTCTGTCTGGGATTTGCCTTCCCCAGTAGTTACGCAATGAACCAATATTTTCACTGAGCTTTTACTACTGTACCCGATTCCCTCTTCCGGTTATCACGAACAGTTAAGCCATTAACATTACATTAACATTAACATTATCTCCCTGAAATGAAAGTCTATTTTATTTATTATTTTAATACCCTTTAATACCCTTTCTGAATATATAGGAACTTCTTTTACTTCTTCCTTTTCTACCTTTAAATCAAACTTAGAGCAAAATAAAATACTTCTTTTCCACTATTATAAAAGACACTGATGAGTTTTCTCCCAAATGAATTCAGCAAGGTAATATTTATTTATTATATTAAATAGTACAATATTTATTTATTTATTTGTATCTGACCTTTATTATTTTTACAAATAACTCAAGATGGTGAACATACTCAGCATATCTTCCTCCTCCTATTTTCCCAACAACAACCCTGTGAAGTGAGTAGGGCTGAGAAGTCTTAGCCCAAGGTCATGGCTAAGGCTAAGACTAGAATTCACAGTGTCCCACTTTCTAGCATGGTGAGTTAACCATTAAACCAAACTGGCTTCCTGGTATCTAAGAAATAGCATTTTAATCCTGCCACACTTTCCTAACACTATTCAACTAATCCCTTGTAATCCCTGCATTCATTCTTGTAGTTTACTCTTTGCTACCTTAACAGCTACAGAAATCTTCTATCATTAGATGTAAATGCGATCTTCACACTTAAGGAGTTTGCACAAGTTTGTCCTTAAGCAAACCACCCCAGCATTTTAGCATTTCTTCAGTTACATTGTTAGACATGCAGCATTAGCATTTTTCAACATTTTCATATAAAGACTCAAGTGACAAACTAAGTTTAGCTAGTGGAAAAATGATTACTAATATTTATAACATCTTCTATATCATTTTCACTATATCGCCAAATATTCAATTGGTATTTCTAAAATCCTGCTCCTAGCATTCCCTTATTTCAGTTCATACAGTTTCTTTCATTTCTTTCTTCCAAGTATCCTTTTTCCACTAGCTAAACTGGATATATTAGTTTGTCACTTGAGTCTTTATAGACTGTCTAGGAGTTCTGATAGGGTAATATATGGAGCTGGGGGTTCCCTATCTTTGCCACACAGAAATAGTTTGGATCAAGGTCCATTGTATTCACTGGGGCTTATATGTGGAAACACACACAAACACATACACACACATGATACATACCCATCACTCTGTTTCTTTTGGGGCTAATCAACAGAACCATAGAAAAAGAGTGAGAAATAGTAACCTAAGGTAATTAAAGATAAGTGATATGAGAAAGGAAAATGAACTCTAGTTCTTACTTTACATCCAAATATCACTCACTACAGTTTTTTTCATAACTTTCTATCTTTGAAAACCATTTTTGCTTTGACCACATCAGTTCATCAATGTGGATAAAGTGTCTATAAATTAGGGTATGCATTCCACTGATAAAAATTAAACCAATATATAAGATGGATGATTTGAAAAGTCATACTTATATCTATATCACTGTGAATTCACTTTGTTAAAGCAAAATCATAGTTCTGATGGTATTGTCATCAATCATTAAATATTATAATGGAAATAATTATCAAATTTCCTTACAGATGCATTTAAGAATACAATTCAACATTTTGGAAATCTGGATATTCTGGTCAATAATGCTGGAGTAAATGATGAAGCGAACTGGGAAAACACAGTTCAAATCAACTTGGTAAGACTAATACATACTATATTTTTAAAAGGAAAAAAGAAAAAACAGAAGTGTAGTTAAAAAACTAGAGAAAAATATTACATTTTGTGGGTTTTTTTTACTTCCAAATATATATAAAATTAATAATAATTAGATTTGCTATTTTTTCTGCAAGTAGATGTTTCTTAAACAACTTTTGAATTTGGATGTCTGAGAACAACTGAAGATTTTTATATTAATCAAGCTTCCTGAACTCTTAGTTTTCATGTAGAAATCTATTGAAAACTATTCTAGACTTGGTTTGTATAATAAATGTGATCACTTTTTATTAATACGAAATTAATAAATGCTGGTATATCAGTTTAACTTTATTTCACTAGAAAAAACAAATTAAGAAATTTGCTCAGGTTATGTTGTTCTGTCTCTAAACCAACATGCTCAGCTAGCCCCTGAGCTTTTTCTATGTTTTTGTCCTTTTTGTTCCAACTAAAAAAGACTGTATTTCTGAATGAGTAAACCCAGTACATCTTACTTCTCATTTCTGAACCTAAACAGGATAATTTTACAATTGTCATAAATTCATTTATTTCTGAGTCATGGATTAAGCTGATTATGCTGATCCTTGGATAAAGAACAAACAGATGATAGTTTAACACTGAGCAGCAATCACAGTGCTGAACTTTACTGAAGTCTGTGTGTGTGTGTGTGTGTGTGTGTGTGTGAGTGTGTGTGTGTGTGAGAGAGAGAGGGAGGGAGAGAGAGAGAGAGAAAGAGAGAGAAAAATGGAGACTGAGGAAGAGACAGAGAATGCCTCGGTGTCAGTCTTGATCCTGGCAAGTGCCTAGATATGTCTCTGAAGGTTTCTTGCAACATTTTCAAAAGTGGTTTGGCATTTCCTTCTTTCTATACAGAGCTGACACCGAGTGAATAGCCCAAGGTCACTCAGCTGGCTTTTTGTTTAAGAAGGGTCTAGAACTCACTGTGTCCATGTATCTTGCTTGGTGCCTTAAGTTTTACACCAAATTGGCTTAATAAGATTGATTGAACATACAATAAGCATAACATAAAATTAATTTTATGATTAAAATAGAATCCATGCATCTGGATTCTAATCAAAAGCATTCATCCTAAGTTCACACTTGCTTTAGTTTAATATGTTCTTTAAAACTAAAATGAATGATAAAGTATTTCTTTAACAAAACTGTTGGTGCTAACCTGGCATTATTTTATTTTTGCTTTATTAAATTTCTGACTGCAGCTAGAAGACCTCCCTCTTCTACCACCCCCAACATCTAGTTATGATGAGTGCTTTAAATTTTCCTTCAGAGTCCAATATACATATCTTCTTCTTTTGTGCTAGGAATAAATACCAGAAATAACTTCAAAGTGTAAATAATATAATTAACATTACATTAGATAAACACCATATCAGCAACAATCATGATAAATGTCACTACGCCACCTATTTGTCTAAGACTTCCTTTCCAAGTCAAAGACCTGCAATATAGTACTACTTGCAAAATATGGCTAACATGTTTAGTGGAAGTATTTGCTTTCTTCTTCCTTTTAATAAACTAGAGGAAGCTGTACCAGGAAGCTGTAAATATATCTACATTTTTATCTATAAATATATTTATAGATAAATATATAGTTCCCTTTAGGGATGGAGAGGTGGCTATATAAATTGGATAAATAAATAACTGCAAGCAGATGAAAAGGAAATACATAGATCATAATTTTAAAACAATTGTTAATAATACTATTAAGAACAATCGTAATAATGTTTATAATACTTAAATGAAGATATTAAGGAGGAAATACAGGTAGTCCTTGATTTACAACCACAATTGAGCCCAAAATTTCTGTTGCTAAGCAAGACAGTTGTTGAGTGAGTTTTGCCCCATTTTACAATCTTGTGCATTAGGATGTGATTATAAATAGGCCTCTGTCTTAGTTCATACTGGAAAACAGAACTGGAAAGCAGGTTAGTGAAGAAATGCTTTCGGGAAGAGAGAGGAGCTGCACCAAACTCTACAGCAGTGCCAGGAGGAGAACCAGCAGAAAACAGGGCTGCCATTTCCAGAACGGAGAAGGGAGACGTGGGGCGATGTAGGGTGGCAAGCAAGTGCTCTTCTCTGCTCTGCATCAATGTGTTGAGCTGCTTCCCTCTGCGTTCTCCATTCTCTCCAGTGGTGATGACGGAGGGCTAGTAGAGGGATGCGGCAGAAGAGGCTTGTGCCGCCCAGTCATGGCAAAAGGCATGGGAGAGTTGGTGGAAGAGAAGGAGGCAGCTGTCACTGGGCAGGTGATCTGTGGGGCAAAACGCAAAGAAAGCCCATCCAGTGGCGCACAGCAGTAGCGGAACCTTTCGCTGTCACTCTCTCCTGGCTCCAAAACAGCATAGGGAGACCGGGCCTACCCCACCCATCCTCCATAGTATGGCACTCTGGCTTGGGAGGGGAGTGAAAGGGAAGGTCGCTGAGCAAGGAATGGCTTGACTGGGAGGGGCCCTGAAGTAAGTGGGTATGGGGCGTGTGGGGCAATTCCATCCCCTCCCCCACCTGCCTCACTTTGTTGTGGTAGCAGTGCGACATATGCTCGCCTGCCCCATTACGGTAGCAAGGTGGGATAGAGTGGGCATCCACTAGGGCTTATTTGGGGGGTAGGGCTTATATTAGGCCCAGCCCCCCCCAAAAAAAATCAGGGTAGGTCTTCTTTTTGAGGAAACACGATATAGATGTGCTTATGTTTGTGTGTGTATAAAATTGCAATATTGCTATTCCAAGTAAAATTAATGAACTACTTTATATATATATTTCATGAAAAGTGAAGAATATAGCTATCTTACAATGTTAGTTTAGTACTCTGAAAAATAGATTGGTTGATTGTAGATTCCTTTGAGCTAGGAAATCAGAATTAAACTAAGGCCATCTGAATGCAATGTTTGTTTTCTGCTATGATATAGTTGTCCCACGAAGACAATTTTATTTTTAAAAGATATTAATTTTCAGGTTAATTATTTCCAGTGCTGACAGTTGACTTATATATATGTTCTCCTCCCAATACATACTTGTTTTTGCTTGCCTATTATTGCTATTGCTATTAATTATGACAAATTATAACTGCATCAGAAGGATTATCCAATTCATCCAAAATGATTGGTGAGAGAGTGTTATACTGTTTGAAGACTAACTACAAACAGTTCTCCATGTCTATTGTCAATGTTAAGAACAAACTGGCCCAGAAGTAGTCATTACACTACTGGCTCAGGAATGTCAGCAGAGGGAATAAAAAGTATGATGAATTAAATAATTAATTCATAGAATAATATTCAAAACATGACACATTGAGTTACTGACACTTTCAGAATAACTTCTTCAATATATGTTTAGTTTTAACTGCATGTCCATCTGTTGATTTTTTTCTGTGTTATCTCCCCAATCACAGAACCATTCAATTTTGACTGAAACAAATATTATAGCATAAAAAGTGATAATAGTCTTCAAGACTATTTTAGTTACTCATCACAAGGAACCATTGCTTTAAATGAAAGAACAACATATGGTAACAGATAGTGTGGAGATATTGGGGAAATTGATAAAAAGCTTGAAACCTCCTACATCTTAGCTACAATACCTTGGCAGTTTGAAAGGTGCGGAGCTCATCTGTAGTTAGTTGGCAGATATCAAAATGCCTCTGGAATCTATTAAGCAATCAAAGAACACTCAGAATCATGTATGTATTAAAACAAAAATATATTACAAAATTGGAAGCAGATCAAAAGAAAGATTCTACTTAGAATGAAAATAATGTTACATGGGCCACAAAAAGGAAAAAAACCATTGGATAAAAGATGTACACTGAAACATTATTTTTAAAAAACAGCTATGAGAATGAAACATACCTGATAACTTATTTGTATTTTCTACATCAGATTTCAGTGATTAGAGGAACATATATTGGACTAGAGTACATGAAAATTGAAAATGGTGGCAGTGGAGGGGCTATTATTAATACTGCATCATTAGCAGGTAAAAATATACTTTATACCTTATTTTTAAGGGATAAGCTTTTCCATAACATTTAATTCCCAAACACAATGTAAAATCCACATCCAAACCATTGTAATCATCTACAGCAGCAACATTAAAACTAGCAATAATTAAGATTTTGAGGGGGGCTCTAATTCTTCCTCTTTTCTGAAGCTTTTTCTAATATAGTTTAAGCAGATGATAAGTTCTATCACCAACCATCATGCATTTAGCTGGCCCTTATTTGTGAAATTGTGAAGCATGGAAAAACAATATTATTTGGTCTAATACCCAGAAAGATAGGGAGGGGAAGAGAGCACCAAGTATGTGGGTGGAGTTAGGAGGCTTTTCTTAACCTGATAGCCATTTCCAGAATGTGGCACCCATGTTGGGGCCTAAGGCCAACTGGTACGACCAGGTCTTCAGTACCCTTACAGTAGGAGGGTGGGTCTCACCTTGTGGGGACAGGGATGTACAGTGTTCCAAAGAGCAAGAGGCTTGGCAAAAAAACTTTTTTCTCCTGGACCCTACCAGCTAAAGTTCCCTGACCAACATCCACAGGATGCCCTTACTGTCAGCATGATAGGGTGAACCAATCCTATTGGGGTGAGATAGTTCCTCAGATAGCCTATTCTTGTTCTCTTATCTTCTCCTGCGCAGTTAATATTAACATTTCTTGCTCTTGGTCAACCATTTCTTTCTGATGTACTAGTCCTTCTTTGGTTCTCTGACTCTTGACTTCTGTTAGAGTTTAACAATATCTCTACCTACATCAGTTGGTTCTTTCCTTTGCTACAGTGATAAGACTTCTTAAGCCTGCTAGGTTCAGCCTACTTATGCATATCCAAAGATAATTGTTATGGAAAATATGCTTATAAATGAGAAGTTACAGCATTAATTATGAGATTAAAGATATGACAAAGTAGAACATTTCAGAGCATTAAAGATTTTAGTGGGGAAATATGGTTTTTTGATCTCTAGGTTTATGCAGAGCTTCAAATGAAAAAAATGCTTTAAAAAGCTTTAAGAAAAACATTCTTTTGAAACTGCTTCTAAAGCAATTCCCTATCCTATGTTTAACAATCAAATTCAATCAAAAATCTATAAAAATTAATAAAATATTGAGAAAAAAGAAATTACAATAAAAAGGCCAAAAAAAATAAATCTTTATAATATTAGATGTTTAAGCCAGCAAACTCTACAATAAAATTACATAAAATAAAGTAAAAAGGAACAATCATACAGTGACAATCACCAGCATTTGTACTAAACTACATTCATAGACTGAAAGCACAAAATTAGGCAAAAGTGGGAAAGATATGTCGGGGCCTGGTTGGACAGAAACAGTGAAAGATAAGCCTTGTCTCTCTACCAGGATAGTTCTTTAAAATGAGATCTAAATGTCTTCTGAGATTCTCTGTAGAGACAGTCACACCGGAGCATGAGACTGGGGGATTCCTATAGCCATCTCTACATGGGCATAATCACTGTTGAAAAGGAATGTGGGAATCTGGAGGTTAGTGCATACAACCTGGACAAGTTGAAGGCCCAACAAAATTTCAGAATTAAAATTGAGGAGACACACACTGTAGCACATAACATGGCTTTACTGCTTCACTTGGCCTGTCTTGTGAAGCCTACTCCAAATGTTACAACAACCAAAGGAACGAACTGTGTTTTTCTATGACTATTGTCTAGAAACTGATTATCAAAGATTAAAGCACATTGTAAAGCACATTGTTAAGGCAATTTGTGTTGTTTCTTTGCTTTCAGTATTGGAACTGCTAGTTGAGGCAATGCAAAGACTTTATCAAAATTAATCCAAGCTGCCTCAGACAGATCTAATGATCTTTTTCCAGTACTTTGCCATCTGCACTTGCTTCCGTTAAATCTGTAGAATTTAAATCTGTAGTACTTTTAATATTGAAATCCCTGAACTCCTGTGTGCAGTTATCTAGAGCCTAAGAAAGACCTCATCTAAGACTTCTCTTCAGGTTGTACCATTATATTAATAATACAAAATAATAAAAAACAGAGAAAAAATAAAATGGCTAAATCCAATTTTTTGAATGGAAAGTCCGAGTATCCTAGTCCTAAACCCTTTGAGGTGTAGGGGATTTCTGAGAACACTAAAGTGTATGTTAAGCTGATTTGCAGTTCAGATTATCCATCTGAAGAAGTTCAGTTAGATAAAATATATTTAACAATTAGTATGTTAAATATATACTGTACATCAAAACAAACTTATTCAAAATAATAATTTCCTTCCCTTGACCTGTATATGTGCACTGTGTATTAGGGAGAACCTGCTTACAAACATAGCTAAAATTTGCAGATCGAGTTTATGTTTCCATTGGACTCTTGGAATTAATGCATAAGATGTAACAGTTTCTAGAACATTACATCTTGCACGTAAATATAAATCCACAAGAAAATCCTGATTTCTCAGTTCTTTGATAAATTGTTGCTTGTGCTTTGTAGTTTATACCCTAAGCAGAAACTTGTTTTTGCCATTTGGTTGAGCCAGTGATCATATTTTACAGCTGGACAAAAGGTCCCTAGTGAGCTCTCTTCTAGCAATCACTTTAATTACAAATGCCCATGTTAAACTAGAACGGACAAATTAAACTATAACCTGTTGATCCCATAATAGGATTAAACATTAAAATTAAACCATCTTCTGTTTAATTTTCTATGGTTTTAGGACACTCCAGGTTTTCTTACACAGAATGAAAATGTAAATGTGACTTAAACATGCACACTTGCTGTTATATAATGTATTGTATTGTAGACTGCTGTTCCCAACAACACTGGGTTAAAAGTCAGCAACTTCTCATGAATCTTATAGGCTATATGAATCTCTTATTTTAGCTTCTATTTGTCATTGCACTGTGTTTTTCAGTGTTAATTAAAATAAAGAGGTCTTGTTGGATCTTCCTTTGAAGTTTAGGTAATAATAGTTTCTGCATTTCATATATTAGTAGTACAGCTCCATCCAGTCACCCCATCTCTGAATTAAGGGATTACAGGGTCGTAAAAGGAAGTAATATATTATATAGTATAATATATATTTATACATATATTAAAACATAGATATGACCCAATACACACACACACACACATGTTCATATCTATATAGGTTCATATAATAAAAATAATGTAAAGTTATACTTCAGAATTTTTCTATAGATTTCCATATCCAAATTATGAAATCTCCCAGCTGTCTAATTGTTAGGTATGCTTTGTTTCATAAATTTATAATGTTTTAGAGATAGTGAGAGCAGAATATACAGTTTAATAAAAGAATACTATTATAAAAGGCTTTTGTTTTTGTCCAAATTATGTACAAATTTCCATTTGAATTATGAGATTTCCTGCCATTCACATAGCTGTAATGGTAATGTGAAACACTTCAGGAGATGAGGAGTAAGAGAAGCTGGATATGGAACAGTTAGATAAGAGACAGCAATAGCCCTTTGCTGCAAAATGGGCAGGAAAATGTGATCAGAAGGGATTACTCCTATAAAGGAGCTGCAAGAAAATTGTACTTTTAGACTTGCAAGATTCTATTGATGTACAGTAACTTTACAATAAATTAGAATTAGTTTAGCTGGTTACGTTTCCTGTCTGGTCTTCCTGACATAAGTTAGACACTTGCAAACTAATAACCATACACTTGGAATAAATTCTGTTGAGATCAATGGAATTTTCTTTTGAATATACATAAATAAGATTCTGCTTTAGATAAGAAGTGAAAAAAGGACTGAAAAACCTTTTTTTATAATTATGCTTCCTGACTTTTGAATGAGGTATTATTTAAAGTTTGAGAATGTATGACCATTAAACATTATTATTTCCAGTTCAAGTAAACAAGGGAAGTTATACCATTAAAGGAAAACTGTACATAAATACCAAAAAACTAATAATACCAGCCACAGACAAGTGAACAGGATATGGTTTAGTCAAACAATTATAGATGAGAATGATAATCAACAAGTCAAGAAAAATAAATGTTGGCCTGAAAAAGGACTGGGATTTTTTTTTCTAATTCTCCTTTCTTCAAGGATAATTTTTAACATGATTCACTGTTCATTAGCCATTTCCAAATGTGTCTCTACCAGGATAAAGACTTACAGAATGTAAAATCCAGAAACTTCAAGGAAGAACATTACTCTATCGATCAAAATTGAATAATCTATTTTTATTTAATATTTCTGCTACCAAATATTTTGTTCTTCCCTAGTTAATACTCTGAGTTTCTGTACTTGAGTGGTTTGACAATCTGATCAACATTGTTTTTAAACCTAAGTTCTCCTCAAAAATAAAGTTGTCATATAGCCAGCATACATCAAAGTCATGATTCTATAACTATTAAATAGTAGAGAAAAGAAATAGCATATTGTTTATTTAGGAAAAAACAGAAGTACTATAAATAAATAATCCCATAGAAGTCTTTTATTTTTAGAAAAGGAGACTCATGGCCAGTTATCACTTTGCCAATATATTGGAGTGGATTACTAATGAAAACTTTACAAGGTAGCCACCAATATTTGTATACCAATGCTTTTCCTATAATCTATCAACTAAATAAACTATTTATTTAAAATCAGTAAGTGTATCAAAGAAATGTTCTTTTAGATCTCCAAAGTTGGTAACTTTAAGACTTGTGGAC